GTCGGAACTGTGCACGGTCGGAACAACAAGAAGAAACCTCTAATTTGCCACCGGTGCAAAAAGGAGGGCCATAAGCAGTTTGAGTGCCCGCAGCGCGGTCGTGATTCGGACGGCGACCCGAAGCCGAAAGGAAAACAACAGAAGAAAAAGGAAGATTGTGTTTCGTTCGCGTTTGTCGCCGGCGCGTGTGAAAGTTCTAACGGTTCGAAGCCGTGGGTAGTGGACTCGGGTGCGACGAGCCACACAGTTGCCGATCGGAGTTTTTTCGGTGAATTGAAAAGTTGTGACATTAAATCTGTGACGCTTGCCGACGGAAAATTCGCGAAAGTGGAAGGCCAGGGGTGTGGCACGATTGACTGTTGTGATGAAAATGGACTACCGAGAAAAATGAACATAAGTGTCGCGCTTTACACACCCGGTCTTGCCATGAACTTGTTGTCGGTGCCGGCAATAGTGGAGAAGAACGCCGAAGTGATTTTTGATGCCCGTGGGTGCCGAATCTTGCGTGACGGGACGACGGTAGCCGCGGCAACGTTGAAGCGTGGGCTGTACCAGCTGAAGCAACCGGAGGAGGTCGTGTTGTCGGCGAGCAGCCACCACAACAAAGACTGCCAGCACGTCTGGCACAGACGGTTCGGGCACAGAGACCCGACCGCGATCATCCGGATGAAAAAGGAAGACTTGGTAAGCGGTTTGGAAGTGTTTGAGTGCGGCATCGAAGAGCCATGTGATTGTTGCCTGAAAGGGAAGAGCTCCCGCGCTCCGTTCCCGAAGGATTCATCATCAAGCACGAAAGCGACGATGGACCTGCAAAACGGAGTAGCGGAACGTAAGAACCGCTACCTTGTGGAGATGGTTCGATGCCTTTTGTTTGACTCCAACCTGCCACAGTGCTGTTGGGCGGAGGCATTGAACACTTCCGTGTATCTCCAGAACATACTCCCGACGAAGGCCGTCAAGTCATCACCGTTTGAACTGTGGCACGGAACCAAACCGGACGTGGAAAGTATTCGGGTGCAGTGCGTGGGTTCACGTTCCGAAAGAAAAGCGGAAGAAACTCACGACCACTGCGAAGGAGCTCGTCTTCGTAGGGTACTCACTAGAGCACAAAGCCTACAGGTTCCTGGACAAATCTACGCGAAAAGTGATAGTGAGCCGTGACGTCAGGTTCATCGAAAGTGCTACGGAAGTGCCTGCCGAGGTTGGTCATAAGAAGAAGAAGAAGCCAATCGTGAAGCCGGCCCCTGTCTACAGCCAGGAGGAGATAATAGTGTTTGACTCGATACTGAAGAAAATCGAGCCCGTTGCCGAATCCGTAGCTGAAGAAGATGAAGATGACGAGTTTGGTACTGCTGAGTCCGAAGCAGATTTTGATGGTTTCAGTGACGTCGATCCTGTGCGCGGTATTGAAGAAGCCAACGATCAGGAAGACCACGAACGCGAACCCAGAAGATCCGAACGGGCCAATAAAGGTATCCCGCCGGAACGGTTCGACGAGATGACCAGCGTGAAGAAGCATTTTGTGAAGGAACCACGAACGTACGAGGAAGCGGTCCAACGCCCCGAAAAGGCTGTCTGGCAGACAGCGATGGAGGAGGAGATCGGCGCACTCGCCGAGAATCAGACCTGGGAACTGGTGCAACTGCCTCCTGGAAGAAAAGCGATCGGCTGCAAGTGGACGTTCAAGGAGAAGGAGGACGAGACCGGTCAAGTTGTACGACACAAGGCAAGGCTGGTAGCGCAAGGGTTCACACAGCGCTACGGTACGGACTACGACGAGGTGTTCGCACCAGTAGTGAAGCAAACAACCCTCAGGACGCTACTAACGATCGCGAGTCGAGACGGCATGATGGCAAAACACCTGGACATCAAGTGCGCCTACCTTTATGCTGACCTCGAAGAAGATATCTTTATGAAGCAGCCCCCAGGATTCCAATCGGACGGCAATTTGGTGTGCCACTTGAAGCGTTGCCTCTACGGCTTGAAACAGTCGGCGAGGGTTTGGAATTCGAAAATCGACGGCATCTTCAAGCAGATGGGTTTCGAGCCCGGCAAGGCAGACTCGTGCCTTTACGTGAAAAAGAACAAGGACGGGAAAAGGTGCTTCATCGTGATTTACGTGGACGATATGGTCGTCTTCTGCCACTCGGAAAAGGAGTTCGAGCAAATTCGGACCGCCCTGGAGAAACATTTCAAGCTGTATTCTCTGGGAGATCTGCGTCAATTTCTCGGAATCCACATCGAAAAGGTCGACGGGCACTACACCATGAACCAAGGAAACTACATCGAGAAGCTGCTCGGAAGGTTCGGACACGGGGACGCTAAGCCGTCGAAGATACCGCTGGACCCAGGCTATATAAAACAAACGGAGGAGACAGCCCTGCCAACGAACACGTCCTATCGTTCGCTGGTGGGCAGTTTGTTATATGTCGCGGACAATACCAGGCCAGACATCAGCATCGGGACTTCGCTACTGGGCAGGAAGGTGTCAAATCCGACAGATCGCGACTGGACAGAAGCTAAACGTACGCTGAGGTACCTCAAGGGGACCAAGAACTTCCGTCTGCACCTGGGTGGCGGAGCCGAAGGTCTCGAGTGCTTCGTCGATGCGGATTGGGCCGGAAATGAAGGCGATCGGAAGTCGAATTCCGGTCAGGTCATCAAGTTCGGCGGTGGCGTAGTGAGCTGGGTCACGCGGAAGCAAAATTGCGTCGCCCTGTCGTCCACCGAGGCCGAGTTTGTGGCCCTATCGGAAGGCTGCCAGGAATTACTATGAATGAAGAAGCTTCTCAAGGATCTTGCAGAAGACAGCTCGGACCCCATACTCGTGTGGGAGGACAATCAGTCCTGTATAAAAATGGTGGAGTCGGACCGCATGGAGCGCCGGTCCAAACACATCGATACAAAACACGAGTTCACGAAGGATCTACGCCAACGGGGAGTCATTGATATCCGTTATCTACCAACGGATCAAATGGTTGCGGACATCATGACCAAGCCGCTGGACAGGATCAAGCTGGAGCGGCACCGTGAGTCATTCGGTGTCATGTAAACTTCTATGCGTTGAGGAGGAGTGTTGGCACAACCATGCCAGCAACGAATAAAGTTAATGATTTGAATTACTAGATTTGATACAGTGTAGCTTACAGCACACGACCCCATGTAACTGACAGTAAAAATAAAGTTTTAGTTCCTACTCGTTTCTTCCAGACAACAGACGTTGTAGCATTACTCTCTCGCTGCGCATAATCCTCCGCACTCCCAAGCTGTTAGCTCCTCATCGGTGTACCCCCATGTCTGTCTTTTTCATTAGTATGTCGCTTAGTTCGAGATCAAGAGCACATTGGTTTGGTCTTGTGTTCTCAATCCCTACCCTGCCATCCATTTGTTACAATTTGTTACCCCTAACCTCGAGATAGCCGCGAGTAATCGGCCCCGCTTTACTAACGTTAGTTTTAAGGAATTGTGTGATCTAAACAATGGATATCGGCTCCGCAAAGCTACGGCAAATGAGCCTGGAAAAATAAACGCATTATATAAAAAATGCCATGTAGTATAGATTGAAATGCAAACTATGTGAAACATTTATCCACAATAACTTGTTACCGTATAGTTTTAGTCTCCCCATGGACATGAAGGTTGACGGTACTGAAGCAAAGGCTTATGTTTAGTTTGATTATATTCGCAACTATGATGATTTCCCATAGTGATACATATCACCTTCATAATGCTTTAGTATACCTCAAACGATTAATTCTTGGTTGTTAATAAAACTTCCATGATTAAATCGGCTGCTTCATGCAGACTGAGCAATTCTGATTATAGTATCAGATTTGTTCTGTATACAGAGAAACTTGTTAGAATATCTTTTTGAGATATTTGTAGTCACGTTTACAATCTGTAGTCAATAATTCATTTTAATCGTAATGTAAAATTTTAATGTAATTACCATAAATAATAGTTATTCAATAATAGATAATTCAACCATATATTCAATAATAAATTTATGAATAACTATAATTTAAATAGCTAAGATTTATACAGAATCAGCGATAAGAATAGGATAAGCCTAGAAAAATATCGATAAATTATTCAGGGTTGTAGTTTTGGTTTTGTTCAATGATCCGGCTCTGATTGGGAACTATGTAGGTAGTATTTTTAGGTAGCTATTTACCTTCTAGCACAACTTTCTTTCTACGAATCCACAAAAGATATTAAATTTGAGGGGATTCTGGTTCGGAATTACAGGCTGCTATTTTGAGCAACTTGTCGTCATCAAATTAGAAAAAATAACATTTTAGTATTAGTCGAAAAAATGTGGATAGTAAGTTAGACATCTTATGGTATGAACTTTTACTACGTTTTTTTAAGTCAATTATTCTTGGACGCAGTTAAAAATAGGAGATGAGGAAGAAATATAATCATTTGGTGAAAACACACTCACACACACAATTAAAACACTTCCACGGATACTTAAATCAATACTGACATTGACAAGAACATATACATTGAGAAAACACTTCTAACGATAATGACAAACGTAAAGACATCGACAAAGACAATGACACTGATTCCAAAAAAATATATATCAAGAAGGTTATGAGAGCTGATTTCGATAGTCCGGTGTTTTTCATTCACCATAGACTAATTCGTCCGGCATAGTCACTTGAAAAAAAATTTTCAAACACGAACCCCGATCATTGTAATCCTATAGGGATAAAAAAAAACTTATTACCGTATAGGTAGTTTTATTTATTCTAATCAGAATAAATCACCAAATCAACCATTTTCTATAAGGCCCCGCAAAGCTACAGCAAATGAGCCTGGAAAAATAACAGCATTATGAAAAAAAAAAACATTTTCCATAAATATGCTGTCTTGTCGGAGTCGGAGTCAGAGTCGGAATATTTTTCACCGATTTCACAGCCCTGGTTTTTTCCAGGGCTCAATCTGCAATGTTATTGTTTAATTTTTTTTTACTATTTCTCATATATTTCTAGTGATATTTATTCAATATGCGTAGCACATCCGGAACCACTGGCTGATAAGCTCTATTCTGAAACGAAAGCATTTTTAGAAGAACATGTTCGGAGCTTACTGAGAGAGAAGGTCTCCCAACCTTCCATCAGCTCAAATGATTCCGAACAGTCCGCGTATGCCTTACTGCAACGCTATCACGATGCTTGGGCTCAATACAGTAAAGGAGTAGAATTCTTAAACCACCTGTATCTGTAAGTATTATCGGACTTTGGTCGTACTAGTTTTTCGGTCATACATATATATGTATAGAAATCTTACATGTTGATAATTTGTAAACATTTATTACTTCCGCTAGTTACCTGAATCAGCAGCATATTAAAAAGCAAAAACTATCAGAAGTCGAAGTAGTTTATGGATGCATTAATCATGATTCTCAGGAACAGCTTGAAATCGGCGAACTGGGACTCGATATTTGGCGCCAGCAAATGATCGAAAACGTTGGTGACGCATTGGTTGCCCAACTTCTAGAAGGTATTAGGAATGATCGCTTAAACACAAACCAACGAACCGATATGGAACATATAATCAAAGGAGCTATTCAAAGCTTCGTTTGCGTGCAGGAATACAAAAAGAAAGGATCACTGCAACTATACCAGCAGACATTCGAATCTCCACTGCTGCAAGATAGCGGAGAATTTTATAAGCTAGAAGCAAATCGACTGTTGCAGGTAGGCTCGCAGCAAATAAATGTAAATAAACACACTCGTAAAATGTATGCGGGACACGGAAAACATGCTAATAAATGCTCGGACGCTGCTTAGACTAACGAAAATGTATAAATTCCTCTATGTAGATTTTTGGATTGGCGATTTCTCTACAAAAAATCGTTTCTTTCGATGATCGAATTTCAACGTTTTGCTCATTGTAGTAATTAGTGCTTTTATCCGGTACTTATTTTCGGTATTGGTTGTACGACATTTCGTGGAAATCCATTTCACAGAAATATATTTCGCGGAATTTTTTTTTTTTTTTAATTCTTTATTAAAGAGATTTTTAGGCTTAGGCTAGTTCATCTCTAAATATTTCGCGGAAGTACATTTTGCGGTACGACCCATTTCGCGGAAACCCCCTTTTTAGCAGTTCTTCTTCGAGCTTTTCTTTGTCATAGTCTTTGACACCAAAAGATTTAAATAGGTGCCAAAGACTATGACAAAGAAAAACTCGAAGAAGAAACAAAAAATCGGGGAAATGGGGTTCTCCGGGCATCGGAATTTTGCAGGATGTAGCATTCCGCGAGATGTTGAATTCCGCGAAATGGGGCATTCCGTCAAATGGTTTTCCACTAAATGGACTTCCGAGAAATGGGTTTCATTTACTCTATTACTATTTTAAAACCAAAACATCGTAAACTCTGTTAACTGAAGGAAGAGTTATGTAAAAAAGTAAGTTATATAGCTTTGTTCAGTTTTCCTTAAGGTTAGGAAGCTTATTAGATTGGTGGCTAGCCGAATACCAAAAGTACTGGATCCGGTATTTTTAGTATTTGGTTCGGTATTGGAAACCATTGAGTCCCTTAATTTGAACCAAAACTGATCCTATGTCACTTCGTTTTTTTTTTAAATCACTCAATCACTATTAAAAGTTTTCTTATGTTTCATAGTACAGAATAAAATTAAGTATTTTTTTTTATAAAAAAAAATAACTTTTGTCTGATTGTTGATTTATGCTTTGGACATGCCATAAGAAGTATTTTAAAACATGAATCTAGAATAACAAAGTATCTACCTATGGGAAATGGCTCTAATGTTGGCCTATGGATCTAAGATTGGGCCCATCGCTAAAAATCAGCTATTTATCAATTTTATCTAGATGAACGCGTCATTGGGATATTTTTGGTCGCTATTGAAAATTTAGTCAGTTGCTGAATTAATGTATGGGCCCAAATAAGGGGCATTTAGGCCGACATTATATCCATTTCCCCTATATAAAACAAACAAGCTAATAAGTAATAACTCAATATGGTGTTTATTGTTTATATTATAATCATACTTGTTAATAAAAAAAACTTGTTCATTTTATTCCTTTAGGTTTGCACGGTTAGCAGCTATATGGAAGAAGTGATTAAAAAACTCGATGAAGAAAACAGACGAGCTTTAAAATATCTTCACAACAGGTAAGGACTTTACAAATAAAATTAAAGGGGGGAGGGGTTGATTAGTTTGGTTTGTAGCTGAATAGTAACCATTGAATACCATGGTAGGGTAGGTGAGTCAGTGTTGGCCCTAGGTCCAGTATTTGATAATTGAAGCTAATTGTAAGATACATGAATTATTTGGGCTCTGGGCGGCTGTATTTCAATAAATGTCTTATGTAAACAGACAAAATTTAAAATTTTAAGTATTCAATTCCGCAGCTTTAAATAGCAAATCAAATTTTGCTTCCCTAAGCGGGTCGCTTTCTAAGCAGTACAGCTAAAAATTGCTTTTTTATTCGGTATATTTTTACCAAAATCTGCAAAATGTTGATGATCTTTACACTCAGTGCGGCTAAAAACTGATACATTTAATCATAGTATGCGCTAATTGGCATTAGTGCTGTGACGATATCGATAATTCCGATATTATCGATAAATATCGGGTCTAAATTATCGATACGATAACCGATATTTAAAAATCCAATATCAACGATAATCAAAATTCGATATCGGTCACAAGTTCTATTCATTGACATGGTTCTATAATTGGTGGTTCTATCTCCAGTTGGAGGATCTGGAAGAATTTGTTCGCGACGAGCCAATGAGAAAGATCTCTACCGCTAATGCGGTATGGAGTAATCACGAGGGAATGGTTCAACGCATTAATAACCGAAGTGGACGGCTCACCTCGTACAGAAATTGATATGTAGGTACGCGAGGAATGGTGTTGAACTAATGACGTGTGCTATTTTTTCGGTACTAATCTTACTTAGGACAAGTAAGAAGAGTACGTTTCCATGTTTGTTCCAGGTGGCTCTGAAACTTCTGTCAAATATTACAACCTCGGTCCATCGAGACCCTTTTTTTAAACAAGGCGTATTTTGAGCGATGTAGCCTCGAAAGTGGACAGAATATGTGTGTTTGTGTAAAGTCAATGTTTTGATTTTCCAAATTCATTATTATGTTGGAAGAGAATTAAATAAGTTTAATGTATTTTCCATTGAATATTGGATATCGGACCCGATATCGATACTCATAATCCGATATCGAAATGATATCGATATTTTCAGAGACCGATATCGATATTATCGATAAATAATACGACCTCGTCACAGCACTAATTGATCATTTTAGATGGTCCAGTTTTGAACCCACCACACACAGCATGCTTTTGACGCTACTGTATATGGACGATCAAATGTAAAATACTGTGGTAGCCACAGCATAGTTCTGTCAAAACCTCAGCATTTTTATTGATGCATTGGCACTAGCTTTGTGTGTGATGATTTCGACAGTGCCGTTTGTTTTGTTTTTCATCACTTCCGTTTCTTTCATAGTCCATTTTACGAAATGACAGGAGCTGATTTGCCTGACAGAATTTGATGATATTGATGTTGCTTCTGACAGCCGTTAGGTAACCGTCTCCTGGAAAAAAAATCATTCAAGAGTTGAATCAGAAACGTCTCGTAAAATGCTCTACACTAATAAAATTCCACACATTTTTATTGACGAATGTGAAATTCCACATGATTTAAATGTGACCACACATAAACAGAATCCACCCAGAAGCTCTCATGAAATTTATGAATCAAATTAATAGTATGTGTGGTTACACATGGCTTTTATATATACATACACATATTAAGTATGTGTCCGACGAATAGCTATCATTTGTTGATCACATTGCAAAAATTCATGTGTGCGACACATAAAAACAATCTTTGAAATTTTATCAGTGTAGGGTAGAGAACTACTTCGGCCTAATCGCCTATTTTGGGCCTATCGAGCAGAAAACTTCAAATAAATCCATGATTTCAGAGTTAACAAGTCAATAATGCGTTTGGTACTATACTTCAGTTAATAAGCTACCGAACGAAGTCAATGAGAACGCGTGATATGAAGGTTTGCACCCATTATTCTCAAAAACAAAAGAAGCGCTCCGACCGAATCATTTTTTTATCTTCATCCGACAGGCCGAAGTGAATTCATTGGCTTTTCAATTGCGTTTCAATGCGTTAGGCCGAGTTTGGCGACAAGAATTAGTGTTAGACTTTTGACAACATCTCAACGATTGGTTTCTCCTTGTCAAATCTTACGGTACGTACGGAAAGGTAAATAAATTTGGAAGCCATCAGTAATAATAACATTCCGTTTAGTGCTAAACTGATCTAGATTGAGAAAGACTAAGTGCAGATTATGCTTAATAGGCCGGAAATGGGGTATTTAACCCTATACCAAAAAAAGACATTTTAAGCTAGCAGAATAAGGCGTCCACGAGACATTTGCGATCAGCTGACTTTTTTGTTTATCAAGAACTTTTGACAGATTACAGTAGAACTGGCAGTTTATTTTCATATGAATTTCTGCTTTGTTTATGTTTACATTCAGCACCATTAACACCAGATCACTCACACACTCTAGATTTCTAGCTGGCAGTTCCACTGAGAAACGTCTCTTGGATCACCCAATACCAGTCAACTGATGGGAAACCTGCCAGAATCGAGAGTGGTACCGTCGCCCCCATTTGCCGTGACCGGGGTGAACTACGCCGGGCCTTTCCTGATTAAGCAAGGTTTGCGCCGTCGTGCCCTGGTGAAATCCTATGTGACCGTCTATGTTTGTATGACCACCAAGGCCGTTCACCTAGAAGTGGTATCCGACTTAAGTGCCGATGGCGTCACTGAAGCGATTCCTTGGACGACTAAGCTCCTTTCCTCTCCACGGCACCCGAGTCAAGGTAGTGCATCATCACCCTGCTTTAGTTATCGTGATCGAAAATAATATTGTCCATGATTTCACCAGCACTCCAAACGCTGTGTCATATGACTTCCGTAGAGCTGACCATTGCAGTATCGTCCATGTGCTGTCTAATCTAGATTGGGAGCATATTCTAGATCCTGTAGACGTCAACATTGCTGCACAAACCTTTTCTCACGTCTTGGCATATGTCATTGACAGACACGTTTCCAAAAAGATCATCCATATCGACTCTCGCGTCCCGTGGATGACGAAAGATCTTCGCTCGTTGAAAAGAACTAAGAAGGCTGCTCTCAGAAGATTTACTAAACTCCGCACACTGCCACTGAAATGCTACTATGTCAGACTCAACCACGAGTATAAGCGGTTAAGTCGTCTCTGTTTTCAACGCTATCAAAGGAGGATTCAACGGCGGCTAAAATCACACCCGAAATCCTTCTGGAACTTCGTAAATGAGCAACGCAGGGAAGTCGGCTTACCCTCTTCCATGATTTTTAATGATGAAACTGCTGGAAATCAACAAGACATTTGCAACCTGTTCTCAGCCAAATTTGCTAGTGTGTTTGTAGCCGAGCAACTCTCCGCTAATATCATTACTTCCGCGGCCAGTAATGTTCCTTTGATCAACCAAACGCTCAGCATGGTCGAAGCCACTACAGATACGATTTCTAGAGCAGCATCTAAACTTAAGACTTCAACTAAGGCTGGACCCGATGGTGTTCCGTCGATTATTCTTAAAAAGAACATCTCTTGTCTTTTAGATCCACTGCGCCGCATATTCCAGCTCTCTCTTTCCAGCGGCATCTTTCCGTCTTGCTGGAAGACTGCGGATATGTTTCCTGTTCATAAAAAGGGAAGCAAACGCGACGTAAACAACTACCGGGGAATCACATCGCTGAGTGCTGTATCAAAACTTTTTGAATTGGTTGTCATAGAGTCCCTAAATGCGCATTGCAGGCAATATCTAAGTACAGATCAACACGGATTCATAACTGGGCGTTCCACAACTACGAACCTGCTGTGCCTAACGTCTTACATCACAGACAGTTTGATTGCTCGGACCCAAACGGACGTTATCTACACAGATCTTACGGCAGCCTTCGATAAGCTGAACCACGAAATTGCGATCGCTAAGCTTGATAGGCTAGGGATCGGTGGAAATCTTTTGAGATGGTTTCGTTCATACCTCACGGAGCGCCAATTGACAGTAACTTTGGGTACTTGTCGCTCAGCAAGCTTCTGCGCAAAGTCCGGTATACCTCAGGGCAGCCATCTGGGACCATTGGTATTTCTCCTCTACTTCGACGACGTTCACCATGTTATCACAGAGCCACGATTATCGTTTGCAGACGATCTGAAAGTTTTTCTGCGCATCCGCTCACTCGCCGACTGCCGTTCTCTCCAAAATCAGATTGACATCTTTGCTGACTGGTGTAGTCTAAACCGACTGGTGGTCAACCCAGCTAAGTGTACAGTTATTACTTTCTCACGCAAGAAACAACCGATTATTTTCAACTACAAACTACTAGGCACGACAATCGAACGGGTGCACTGCGTGAAAGACTTAGGCGTTTTTCTAGACTCAAAGCTGACATACTCACACCATATATCGTATGTCGTCGACAAAGCGTCCAGAACGCTTGGCTTTGTCTTCAAGATTACTAAGAACTTCACGGACATTTACTGCTTGAAATCGCTCTATTGCTCTCTCGTACGATCTACGTTGGAATACTGCTCTGCTGTCTGGAGCCCGAACTACAATAATGGGGCCGAGCGAATTGAATCTGTTCAACGACGTTTTCTTCGCTTCGCGCTCCGTAAGCTGCCTTGGAGATACCCACTTCGTCTTCCAAGCTACGAGAATCGCTGCCAATTGATCAATATCGAGCCCTTACGTATCCGAAGAGATGTTTTCAGAGCCTTAACTGTAGTAACTGTAGTATATGTATGTCGTCTGTATAATCTGTACTTTTTTACAACACATCATTGGGACTATTTCTAGTCTGTTGATGCAACCATAACAAATAAACAAATAAATAAGAATGATCCAACAGTTGTAACCAACTTCCGAGGTGCCAACAATGAACTGAACGCCTTGTTCCAACAGTTCCGAGATCAGCAAGCCGTTGACACCATCGAGAAATTCTGCCGCAACCGTGAAATCGAGTGGCACTTCATCCCACCGGACGCACACGAATTCGGTGGCCTTTGGGAGGCCGCAGTCAAGTCCGCCAAGAGCCATCTGAAGCGTATCGTCGGCAACGTAAAGCTCACGTTCGAGGAGCTATCCGCCGTCCTGGTTGAAATCGAAACGATGCTGAATTCTCGACCACTCCATCTCCAACGACCCGATCACGTCAGCCTACGATCTGATCGGACGCCCTTCACTGCCATATCCGAGCTATCTTTGGAAGACGTCAAGGCAACGCGTCTAACTAGATGGCACACCTGCAACTTATGCGCGAACATTTCTGGCGCGCTGGGAGTCACGACTACCTGAACACCCTGCAACCCAGGAAGAATAATCTTCAAACTAAGCCGGATATCCGCGAGAACATGGTTGTTCTGCTCCACGACCGAAACCAACCCCCACTCAACTGGAAGTCGGGTCGCATCACAGCCGTATATCCGGGCGATGGCGGTTTGGTTCGAACTGTCGATGTCATTGCAGGGGGTTTGTAGCTACCGACGCCCTATCAACAAGATTTTGGTGCTGCCCATCGAAGATAACGTACATCCGCCTGGTAATTGTTGAGTTACCTCAACCAAGGGGAGTATGTTCCGTCTCCGCTGAAAGTGAACCAACCATTTTGACAACCGCCGCTGACGAAAAGCAACAAAAAACATCAAGCAATCAACGACGTCCACTTCACCACGCGCGGACAGTGCCCTTCTATAAAAAGTGGCACGCATTAGCCAAATTCATTCAGTTACCTTTCAACCGGCCACGAGCAAGCATCAGCAGCAGCAAAAAGCAAAAGTTTGAATCATTTCCCAGCATACATCCCTGGTTCGGAGCAGCGTTGAACCCCACCAGCTCTTTTCAGAGCTACATGAGTTTTATTTTTGATCGACGCTTGCCTCCTCCACCAACCATTGCCGATACAGTCCACTGCCGAAAGGGAAAGTGCCATCCCAGTCCGAAGAACTACTTTGTATTATTTCTATTTTCTTTTAGTCGAGATTTTATTTAACTTTAAAACATAGTGATGTCAATGACTTCGCATACTGGCGCATGGTACTGGAGATTGTGAAATATATATTTTCATTTAATTACAGCTCAATTCCCAAGCTGCGGAAAGAATGTGAACAAAGGATGATAACGGATCATTTAGACTTCTTGTATTCAGAGTGCAGTGAAATGGTTTCATCTGAGAGGAAAAAGGACCTGAAGAATCTTTATACGATTCTCAAGCCAATTCCTGATGCACTGAAATTGTTGGTTCAAACATTCATGGAGCACATAAGGAATGAAGGTATTCAGATGATTTCCACATTAAAAGGTGACACGGTAGGTGATATTTTTTTTTTGTTAAACTACTATTTGATTTTTTTTTCTTCTCATTGTATAATTTTACCAGGTTCACGTGCAGTTTGTGGAAGGAATGCTGCAAGTACACGAAAAGTATGAAGCGCTCATTGCTGACACATTTAACTCAGATCCAGTGTTCCTAAGTGCTCTCGATAAAGCTTGCTCTAATGTCATAAACTCAAAACTGTGTGAAAAACAACCTAGTAAGAGTGCTGAACTAGTGGCAAAGTACTGTGATAGCTTGCTGAAGAAGTCGAAAACTACAGAGATAGAAATCGAATCTAAATTAACAAAAAGTATCACTATATTTAAGTACATCGAGGATAAGGATGTGTATCAGAAGTTTTACAGCAGGATGCTGGCAAAAAGGTAGGTTATTGCCGTATTACTTAAACTTTTATTCAAGATCTGTTTCCTAAAGCATGGTCGACATAGAAATTGAGTTGTACCATTTTTCCACACTGTTCTTGACATATTTCCACTGCGATTAGTAGTTTGATTTATTGTAATATATCCCGTGTTCTTAGTTGTCTATCATGTTATTGTATTTTGCATTTGTAACTGGGCTCCTCAAAAGTGCGGAAAAGTGAATTTGTAACTGGGCTCCTATAATTGCGCTTTTACGTTGTATCGACTTGGTGTTTTCTGTGCATTTATTCCTTATGAATTAAGGAATAAGTGCTCAGAAGACAGCAACGTGGAAAGCACTTATAATGATAGCGCAATACATTTATATAAGAAAAAAGCGCTTCTAAACATCTACTATCGTACTACAAAACCACAATGGTCAATGATATAGTAGTGAAATCTTCTTTATTTTGGGTTTGATAAGTGCTTTTCTACAATTTGGAGTACCAGGTTCCGTTGATACGGATCTTCCAGTTGTTGAAACACTCAGACAGGACATCCAAGCCTTTCTGAAGTTTGGCGTTCAGAGATCCGATTACCCTTCCTTTCTAGACGATGGATATGTCAGCTGTGGACAAAAACAGCTTTCCACCATCTGGGAGAGCCGGAACAGCAGGGGTGAACAGGTTGAATAGGATGGGCCCAAGGATACTTACTTGAGGTATGCCGTATACCCACACCAATGTTGAAGGTATCTGATGCAGTGTTATTCAAAGAGACTCTGAACGCCATGTCCAAGATATGATTTTAGATGATCGTTACGAGGAAAATCAGGAGACCGTATCATTGCAAGTTGTACACCAGGCCATAATGCTCAAATATAGTTTCAAACTCTTTTTCAACGTCTAACAATCTAACAATCCAGGGCAGCAGTTTTAGGAACAGACTTGTTCTGCCTGTGAATGTTTGTTACTCAAATAAGCTGATGAACGGCCGATCGACTTTTCCAAAAACCTAACTAACCTAACCATTAGCTTGTACCCTTCCATGCACAGGTGGATGGTGCATTGGAGACCTTTACCGATGTAAAAGTCGATTTTCTACCGTAATCAGAGTAGGAATCCCTTCACGAAGAACGGTGGTAATTTTTCATTCTCAATTTTCTGTTGAGTGGTTGTTCGCTTCTTGGCAGTTGGGGTGGTGTTGTCTGACCGGGACCGTTTGCCGGTTCACTGGTACTCGCGGTTCCATGTATTCCATCTAGTACATCTTTTTTAATGCTACACTATCGAGACGAAACTTTCACCACCGAAACACGTGTACTTTCAAAACAAATAGTTGTTAAAATATTCCAAATCCTACCACTAGAGGCGCTAGAATAAATAAAGTATCAGGATTTTAAGTGGACCAGACTTTAAGAGCATTGAAAGTTTTTGATTTTCCGATGATATTGGTGGGTGAGTTCTCGTTGCAATTTTCCCTGTTCATTGAACCTTGCAACGATTTGGCTTTCCGCTTCCACATTTCTCCACAGGTTTCTATCAAATTCAAAGTAAAAGTAAAAATAAATGGTTGTGTTGCTTACCTTTATGTAACATATTTACCACTTAAAATAATCATCGGAATTACGAAGTGGTCTTATTTTGATGTCCAAAGGTTTTTGCATGTGCATATCGATTGTTGATTTTATATTAGCACAAGTGCTTGCCAAGTAGTTTCGCTTTGCTGTTTATTTAATATACGATTATAGGAAGGTTTGAATGTTTTACTTACAGGTATACTGAGAGTAGGTGTTATTGTTTTATCCATCACTGTATGCAGTTGTGTAGCTACTTAAGTTTATTACGCGCCCGCCTTTTTTAGAGGAGTGGAGCAACGATACTAATTTAATCTTTACATATTTTAGACTTATACACGATCAATCTCAAAGTATGGATGCCGAAGAAATGATGATAAACAAACTCAAACAGGCTTGTGGCTATGAATTTACCAATAAATTGCACCGAATGTTTACGGATATATCGGTGTCTGCAGACCTAAACACTAAATTTGGCCATTACTTGAAGCAGCAAAATAAAGAACTAGGTAAGTCAATGTTTTCTTCTTTTATATAGGTACATATTACTCACCATTGAAATTTCAGGAATAAATCTGTCCATTAAAATTCTGCAGGCTGGTGCTTGGCCGTTGGGACCCACGCAGGTTACCACCGGGTTTGCAGTGCCTCAGGAGTTCGAGAAGCCAATTCGATTGTTTGAGAGCTTTTATCACGTGAACTTCAGCGGTAGAAAGCTGACTTGGTTGAATCATTTATGCCATGGCGAGCTAAAAATCTCATTTGCGGATAGAAACTATATGGTTACTATGCAGACATATCAAATGGCAATCCTTTTGCTGTTTGAATCTACTGATAGTTTGCACTACAAAGAAATACAGGATTCATTACAGTTGAATAAAGATATGTTACAGAAACATATTCAAAGTCTAGTGGAGTCTAAGCTATTACTGGTTGATACTGAGGTAATGTTGGTCACGTAGATCTGTAATACCTGCTAAACTTATTACCACTATATTTCAGGGCGTGGATGAAAATTCGAAACTGTCCCTCAATAAAAACTATATTAACAAAAGAACCAAGTTTAAGATCACGGCAGCTTTACAAAAAGAAACTCCTCAAGAGGTATGTACCTAGTCACTTTTTGTCATTTGTATGTCCATTCTATTTCTGTAAAGTACACTTTAAATGTTTTTGCAGATTGAAAATACGATCAATTCTGTCGACGAAGATAGGAAGATGTACCTGCAGGCAACTATAGTCCGCATCATGAAGTCTAGAAAAGTGCTGAGACACAATGCACTGATTCAGGAGGTTTGTTTTAATTTTGTATTTAGTCATTGGGAGCGTTATGGTCCTATTTTCTTTATTCTATCCAGATATTGGCTCAATCGAAAGTGTCTTTCGCACCAAGCATTGGAATGATAAAAAAATGCATCGAATCGTTGATCGACAAGCAGTATATCGAAAGGACACCCAATTCTGGAGATGAATATAGCTACGTGGCATAAAACTGTCTTCTGTATTTAAACTAATGATTGGAAATTATTAATAAACAATTTAAAATGTAATTTCACAATTTTTCTATTTATCATGCCTGATCCAGTAGTAGTAAAATCTCTTTTTAATTTCAACCTCGATTATTGGTTATCAAACTGTCTGGACTAGAAAAAGATGATCTCGAGAAATTGGAAAGTTATGAAATGTTCCCATGTAACAATTTAAATAATCTGTGTAAATTTATAATATAAGACTTCGAATTGGCGACCTTGATGAGCATTCTCACTGTTTATATTTTGGAACTTACCATACTAACCAGTCAGGCTAAGGCCTGGATGTCCTCTGTTATGCCACCACCAGCTTCGCAGTCTGCCTTCCACCTGTGATTCACTTTGCCCGCTGCGCGCCTCTTCGTCTCGTTCCAGTCGGTTCGTTATCGAGTTGTCCGGCATTCTTACGACGTGCCCAGCCCACCGTAGTCGTCCGATTTTTACGGTGTGGATGATGAGTGCTTCTCCCAACAGCTGATGTAATTCGCGGTTCATTCGCCTTCTCTACATTTTGTCTTCCATCTGCACACCACCATCGATGGTACACAAACACCTTCCGTTCAAAAACACCAAGTCTTACGTTGCCGAAATCATTTCCAGTCGATGGTGTCCTTAATAAACAAATACAATAAACGAACGGTAACCCGGATGGTAGAACTAACCAACAAAAACGGTTTGGATGGTACCCCGAACACGTCGTTAGGCTCTTTCGTATGGTTATTTTATTAGGGGTGTTATAATGCAATTCCCCTTTACCCAACTATGTATTGTGTTGCTCCTCTCGTCATGATCAATGTAGTCATCTCAGAGAGAAAGCAGTAGGGTGGTTGTTGCGTGCTGAACCATCATCAGCATTGTTGACGGTTACTCCCGCCTTGAGTTGTTACATTCAATGTGTTTTTGTTACTTCATACGTGAAGTTTACAATTTTCAGAGCTGGTTGGTAATACGCTAAGAGGTAATACGACATGCACGGTCAACGGCAATCATAGTTCACGGTCGCGCGAATCAAATGTACACCGTGAACTATAGTTCATGGCTCTGGCCAAGGTTGCAAAGACTCATTTCAGCTAAAACAATGTTTTTCTAAATTATGAAATAATTAGATGCCATGATCAAATTTTGAATTGGTAGGATACAAGAAGAGGTTGCAAAGAATGTGTTTGACATATTAAGGTTCAATTTACTTTGATGCTTTTTGGAAAATTTCAAAAGCAGTTTTTTCCGACACATTATTTCAGATTGATGACAGATTCCTTTTGATATTTTAAACAAAATGACGCGAGCTCTTTGCAATCTAAACTAATGCGACGAAAAAAACTGCTTTTGAAATTTTCCAAAAAGCATCAAAGTAAATTGAACCTTAAACCTGTTTATTTCACTTCATGAGAGTCACAATCAGCGATTTTTCACAAACTCACTCACTCACTCACTCAGCGATCAGCAAATCGCTGATTGTGACTCATAGAAAGCAAAATTTACAGGTTTTATGTTTCCAACGCATACTTTGTAACCTCTTCTTGTAAGTTACAAGTAAAAAATGCCATCATACCATCTTTTGGTTTTATTATTCCCAAAATTCATTATTTTAGCTGAAATGAGTCTTTGCAACCTTGGCTCTGGCTCACGAATATGGAAACGGATTTTTTTTTGCGAGTCCACAGCCGCAGACAGTATATAAGCAAGTCAAACGCGCACTCTTTTGCCAGTAGATTTGAAGAAATACTTCAAGTCTCCTCATACCTCATTAATAGTTTTTAAATAGTTTTTTAAAAGCTTAATAAAAATTGCTTATATGACAGTTGAACACTCATAGAACAACAACTTTTGATTTTTGTTTTGAATTTTTTGTTTATAATGTGTTTGTGTAATTTTGCACAGAAAATAATTTTGAAAGCCTGACAAACAGTTTTCTGTTCTATATTGATAATTTCACAGATATTAACATAGTTTATAAGCCTTTAAATAATAAAAAAAATCCATTCAAGGGGTCAAGTATGGTTATTTTAACTATTACACATTTTTTTTTTTGTTACGTAATTTCGATTGGAAATGAAGTTTTCGAGTTATGATTTATTGAAAAATAAAAAAAATAAGCCATTTAGAATTTTTGTAATGTTCAAAATGGTCTAATTATCAAATATTTAGATGTTATAATGATAATTAGTACTTGTAAGTTACAATAAGAGGTAGTAAAGTATGCGTTCGATACATAAAACCTATGAATATTGCTTTCAGAACGACAAAACCGGTGGAACCCCACAGTATCAACTTCACTCCGTCGTTTATGATGCCGATCTCTATATCATCCTCATCCACATGTGACTTCGAAAGAACAACGAAAATCCGGACGTAGAAAGAAACCGGTATGATGACCAGTGGAAGAAACGACAAACCGACGGTAATGTCACAATTTTTCACCGGTTCCACTGAACTAAAACCCCCGAACACCAACCCCGACGGGTACCCGCATCCCGGACCAGGACCCCAATACCATTAGGTCACCCTTAATCGCACCCGAAAAAGAGCAGGGATGTAGATGCCCTGCCCGAAGATCTTTTTGTTTTTCATTTGCAATAAGTTTTATTTTGCTTTACCCTGCACTCAACTTCTAAAATAATTTAAAAATATGTATGTTTAAAATAAAAACATGAGAAGCATGTTTAAAATAAGCATATTTATTTTTGTTAGCCTAGCTGTCAAACCAAACAAAAACAAATACGTTTATTTTCAACACGAATATTTTTAAAATAAACGTAATATTATTTTTATTTTAAACATTGATTTCACATGACTACAAACATGGAATACGTTTGAAATCAACCTAATTTATTTTTGTGGCCAGAACAAACTGAGTTTACGTTTAAATTTACCTCAAATATTTTTGTTTCGACGATAGTTTTTTCTGCGTGTATTAGTGATCAGGATCACAAGCATGTCGTGAAAGCGTTTACGCGGAATCGCAATGCTTCGGTCAGGGATGTGGCCAAAAAGTTAAATTTGTCCAAGTCTTCCGTTCAGTCAAGGAACGGGAGGGACTGCATACGTACAAAGTGCAGAAGGCTCCAAATCGTGACGAACGGCAAAATACAGTGGGAAAGTTGAAACAAAAAGGTTTCCTACTCCGCTCTGATCTGCGGTCAAACACCACAGCTAGCTCTCTCAGGGCAAACTAGGGCAAAAAACGATATATCGGCACTTACCTTATCCAAATAGACCTCACAGTAAACGGGTTCTTAACGATAAGCGAAACACAGAATTTACGAGTTCATGAATGTATTACGGGAAAACATAATATCAGGCATAACATTTGATAACGGTTCACGTGTAAAGGGCCTTAGAAAGTTTGTTTACAAATGCTTTTGTGCCGTTATCAAATGTTATGCCTGATATTACGATTTGCGCAAATACATTTTCGTTGGCTAGCATTCGTTGCGGCCGTTGGACGGTAATCACTCTCACGCCATGATCGATTGTACAAACGGTTTCAGTCATCAGGACCCGATAATCCAGCTGTGCTACATAACGTACATAACTAGCATTGGAAACGCAACCTGTTGTCGGTCGGCGACAACATTCGCCTGTATTGAACAATCGACCATGGGACTCCATTGGAATGGTTGCTTGAAGGGAGAAAAGGAGCGAAACAAAACATGTTTCTTTTTTATATCTTCGGGTCTATCTGGAAAGGATTGGAACCCGTTGGTTATAAAGTCACGGGCCCTGAATCTGTCCACCCAGTTGCTGCCTCATTGTCTCTCCCGGGGCTATAAAGGGCAATAGTTTCCGGGGCTATTGTTGTTCACCGTCCAGCAGAAGTTTGATGTACCGGAGGAAGTAAGGAAGCAGAAACTTTCAAAGTTTGCCAAAAAATACATGATTTGGCAAGCGATCTGCTCATGTCGCAAACGGAATGCGACATTCGTGACTACCGGGATTGTAGACGGGGAGATCTACCTCTAGGAGTGTCTACAGAAGCGTCTGCTTCCTCTGTTGAAGCAACACGAGGGCCATACGATCTTCTGGCCGGATCTACACACTTAAAACAGATTCGCGAGGTCGGTAGAAAAAAATACTGAGCTGACACGGCAATTCATAATTTTACTGATATTTCGGCAACAAAAATATTTTCCCCGAGATTGACCAAAAACATTTCCGAAATTCGCAATGTAATTCGCTGAGCACATCAGTAAATAAAAATAATACCGAAATCAGCAATCGCATTTACTGAGATTTCGGTATTGGCCTCATCCATTGCCGAATTTCGGTAATACAGCTGTCACTTTTTTCCACCCGCCATTTTTCAGAAGATCAGAAGTTAATTATTGTCTGTGTCTTTTGCATCGAAAACAACTTTAAAAAACCCAAAACGTGGACTAAAACGCTCGAGGAAGCAGGATCCGAACCTACGAAATATGAACCCACTCCATGGTATAATCCAATGGATTAATGTAAGATCAAGATTGTTCTGTTTTGTTTGAGTGAAAATAATTCTTGTTTGGTTTAAACTTTCAGTCCGACAAGAGTATGCCGACGTCAGCAATTCTCCAAATAAAAGTTGTTGGGGAGGAGTTCGAGGTAGGGGAGTGCTACGTTATTTGGGATAACGTGGTCGTCGGAACAGGACCGGATGTATTGCAGGCGATCGTGCTGCTCTGTAAAGCGTTTACGGTTTACAGAGTAGCATGTTTGCCGTCTGATAAGCTATTTTTTGGCTTTGGCGTTGCATGTGCTTTAGAATTAACCAAATGATATATACAAAATAATAGATATACAAAATGATAATCCCATTGCATTGTTTCTTATTTGCAACTATTTTCCACATGACAACCTTTTTATTTATTTTTGACGTAGGACTACGTCTTTGATTTCTATATGGGGGTACACTTTGTGAAAACCGAAAATGGAACATGTAACAAATTAAGAAAGATTTTGAACGTTAATAACTCAGCTGCCCCTGGTCCAATTTCAATAATTTTATCACATCAGAAATATGGCTACGCATCGATAACAATGCTACC